CATGTTACATAGTGGATAAATTTTTTAACACTGGGAAAATTTAGAACTCACCCAGAGATGAGGAAGTAACCAGAACTCATGTAATTAAAAATTTAGTGTTCAAAAACTCAACAGTAAAATAAATACCAACCCAACATAAAATTAGGCAAAAGCATTTGAATGGGCATTTCTCTGAAAAAGATATTTAATAGACCAATAAGTACATGAGAAGCATCTCAACATCATGACAAAGCAGGGAAATACAATTGTGAAAGCTTTAGTGAAACATCTCATCATAATAGCAACAATCAGATGACAGACATGAAAGAAACTAAAACTATCATTGCTAGTGGACATTTAGATTTGTGCAGTAGCTTTGCAAATCAGTTTGGTATTTCCACTGGAAGATAAATTCAGAGTTATCATATGAACAAGAAATTTCATACTTAGGTCTATATTCAATGTAAATTCAAGAAAATGTGTCTACACAAAAATTTTACACAAATGTTCAAAACAACATTATTATTAACAGATTATGGAAAGGACTCACTGCCTACCAAATGATGAAATTTAAAAACGAACATATATGCACTCAATATTATTATGGATATTTTTCCAACACAAAAAGAGATAAATGCCCATATCTTGAACCAATGAGGATAAACCTTGAAAATATCAGGTTAGTAAAATAAGGAAATAAACAAAATACCTCATGTTGTATGATTCCTTATATTAAATACTCTCAATAAGCAAATACATAGAGAAAAATAAGAATTTGTCATTGCCAGAATTTGGAGTAGAGAGAGAGAGGAGGGAATGAAAAATAATTATAAATGAGTATCCCATTTGTTTTTGAAGTGATGTAAGTATTCTGGACTCAGTGGTGCAGTTGTACAGTTCTATGAATATCCTAAATTGTAGGATTTAAATGGGTGAATATTGTTAAACCATAATTTTGAGATGGAAAGATCTCTGAAATACATGGGTTTATCAAGCTGTGCATGTTGCTAGCCTGGTCCTAGGGCAAATTCCCTAAGTCACTAGCAGCATTGTCATGTAGCATCTAGAAAAATGTCCAGCGGATCTAAGGATATTTTGTCAAAAAGATCCTGGGAGCAGGAGGTGCAGATTACTTTCATTAAATCTACAATGGATAGAGAGAAGAAAGATATGACCTGGGATAGGAAGAAAGTCAGTAGAGACATGTTTCTGTAGCCTCTTGGTTGGTTGACTCTATAAGCACAATAAAATTTTGTCTAGATAGCTGATCTTAAAAACATGGGAAATATACTGCAGTTATTTTCTTTTTTTTTTTTTTGGTTTACCTTGAAACTATCAGTTAGACTTTTATCTTTCTTTCCTCCATCCTGCTGGTAACTGAATTTAGAATGTCTCAGATTCCTTCTCTTATCAGTATTATGGTGTATGCATATTCATCTTTTAACAAACATTATTTATCTGTTTATTTTTTGTTTGTTCATTTATTTATTTTAGTATACAGGGAATAAAGCCAGGGACACCTAACCAATGAACTGCATCCCAAGACATTTTCATTTTTTTATTGAGTCAGGGTCTTGCTAACTGGCTAAGGCTGGGTTCTAACTCTAGATCCTCCTACCTCTGCCTCCCTAGCTGCTGGGATTATAGGCATGTGCCAGAAAATATAGGTGTTATTTTAAAAAATGGCATGGCACCTTCAGTGAAAAATTTTTAAAGCACTTAGCCTCAGGGTCATGTAAATGTAGGGTTACCACCTAAGTATGTGTGCCTGATAAATGTTTTGCCTCACCTTAATTCAGGTACTCAGGAGAAAAAACTAATTTTCATTAATTTGAAAAAAAGACAGGTATCTGCTGATGAGCACACTTGAGTTCCTGAGCCATTTTGATTCAGTCTCTGTTTCTGTCACATTGTCAATGATGAGTAGGACTGCTTATATACCAGTTCCACAGTCTAAGCACAAGAAGTTGAAAAAGAGTTCAGCTGAGATCCTGGGAGCAGGAGGTGCAGATTAAAAAGAGAATACAGATTTAGGACAACTGTATTCTCTATGAGGGTGCCAGACTGGTAATAATGAGTGGTGAAGAAACTGGAAAACAAAGATTTTATTTTTGTTTTTGTGGTGCTGGGGATTAAGCCCAGGACCTTGCGCATATGAGGCAAGCACACTACCACTAAATTATATACACAGCCCTTGGAAACAACATTTTTAAAAATTTGTTTTTAAATAATTATGAGTGCATAGTAATTATGCAAAAAATTATTTAATTGCAGCAATTTCATACATGCATGTAAAGTACTCTAACTGAATCTACCCTACCTGTAACATATTCTTGTCCCCCTAGTACTTTTCCCTCTCTATTACCTTCCCAATTAATTCATATTCAAATTTTATGTCACTTTCTGTTATTCCCTAGATTCCACACATGAAAGAAAACATGAGATACTTGTTTTTCTGAGATTTATTTTCCATAACATGATGTTTTCTAGTTTCATCCATTTTCCTGCAAATCACATATCCTTCGTTTTTATGGTAAATAAAACTCTACTGTACACATATATTACTACATTTTCCTTTTGATGAATTTATCTGCTAATAACACTTAGGCTGATTCCATAACTTGGCTTTTGTGAACAGTGCTGGGACAAACATGGGTATGCAGCTGTGTCTGTACTATGCTGACTTTGATTCCTTCACATGTACACAGAGAAGAGTGGTATAATGGATCATGTGGTAGGTAGCACTACCTTTAGTTCCTGAGGAAACTCCTTACCATTATCCATAGTGATGGGGCTAATTTATATTCACACCAACAACACATAAGGTAAGTAGACACATTCTGGCACCCTCATAGAGAACACAGGTGTCCTAAATCACAATCCCACCTTTTTGTCACACAGGAGGCTCAGAATACAGACATATAGGACTTTCCTCCCCTAAAATCTCAGCCTGTCATTCTGTATTTTTTTTTCTGTCAATAGGGAAGCCCATAGTTGTAGGTTTTGTGCCCTTCCCCAGTCCCCACTGTGTTTTTCACAGGGGACTTTGGAGCCTGCTTTTGATTGTCAGTTTCAGAGTACTTTTACTTTCAGAATCCTCTAGAAAACATGCTTTGCCCAACTCCACCCCAGGGTCTCCCTTGGTGTTCCAATGGAAACCAGTGGGTGACAGAGGCCAGGCTAGGGGATCAAGAGCAAGAAGATTAGTGACCTATCTCTGGACAGGGAGAAGACCCAATTCCCTGCCATAACCCAGGTCACACTGGATTTCTTCCCTGGGGCAGTGACTTGCTGATTGGAAGGCAGGAATTCCCACAGCCAAACAGGCCTGATAAAAGGCCTCTGGGAGTGCAGAGGCCCCAGAGGCACAGCTGTGGATCCTGGTCCTGTGATTCAGAAGTCAGTACCAGGCTAGCAGCACTGAGACCTGAGGGAGAGACTGTGTGGGAGGTGGCAGGTGAGGACTTCTCTGTGCAGGGGCTGAAGTGACAGTGGATCAAGGCAAGTTTTAGAAACTCCAGGCCACCACTGGGAGAAGGGATGCCAGAGGCTGAGATAAAAAAAAGATAATCTAAAAAGTCAGTGTTATTGCTGTCTTTAGAAAACAGCTTCTTGGGAGATCATGGGGGTCAGTGGTATAGAGGGACCTCGCTTAGGGCTGGTCCCAGAGAAGGGGAGAGAGATTTCAAGAAGGCAAAGATGCTGCACAGCCTCCTGGATTCTCTGCTTGCCTCTTGGCTGCCCATGGCTGGCCCTGAAACTCACCATAATGGGTGTTCATGCTCCAACACCACTCCCACCTACTGGCCTTATTTTCTCACCTCTCCTCTCTCCTTAGGGAGCCTTACCTTTCTCTGTGCTTTTAAAATCTCTAGTATCCAATTCTAAACCAGAGCACCCTTTATTTATCTGAGATTTCCCCCTAATTGATGGAGCTCTTGCTGTTTCCTGGGCATGTTTGCAGGTGCTTAGAATCAGGTTACCAGGCACCTTTCCTGTAGAGAGTAGCCAGTCTTGTGGGTCCAACAATCAATGAGACAAGGAATTACAATAAGGAGGGATGAGTCAGCTTGAGGGGAGGAGGGAGCTCTAGACTAGGACATCAGAGGCCTCCTGGTGCTGAGCCTAGGAGACAGCAATGAGTGATTGGAGCCTGGTGACAGGGATGGAGTAGGGAGCCTTTTAAGTTGGACATCACTGTTTGCCAAGGCTCACAGGTGATTGGGAGGGTCAGGGTGGATAGAGGTGGAGGTTGTGACAGAGGAGAAATACAGCAATGGATAGGGCCAGGCAGGTGAGATGCTATTTACAAAACATATTTTGAGCTTATCTCTAGGGCCACTGGCAATTTAAGGGAGGGTTCATATGATCAAGATAGCACTTCCCTTTCAGTATTCTGTGTGTCTATCCATCTGGGTTCCTGATGTGGGAGAGCCTATGTTCTGAGGTTCCCCGGCCCACTTGATTTGCATTTTAATGAGCAGGGGATAATAGTACTGGGAATCTCAGTGTCAGGGAGGTAAGAGGCTCTGCAGAGGAGACATGTGGTTTGTACTAGGAACAGGATGACAGAGGCTGGAGAAATGGAGTGGGATCCAATGAAATGGGAGGCAGCTGAGGCAGGCTTGGACATAGGTTTGGGAGAATCCTTGAGAAATGGGAAGTTGTCAGGGTGATTTGCTGATTGGAAGCCAGGAATTCCAATTCCCAGGATTTAAGACACTCCACTGTCTCTGGCTTCAAGCAGCACCTCCTTGCTCTGGCTTTGACTACTCACTCTTCTTTCTTTGACCTGTCAACTTCTGTTCTCCTCAGCATGCTTTTCTGCTCTTCCTTTCCTTGACAGTTTGATGTTCTACAGACACCAGCCCCTTCCTCACATGTCTAATCTACTCCCATCGCTTTCACTGGTACTCAGAAATTTTCTGAATTCACAAGAAAATTGAAAGCCAAGCAGAGAGCACACAAAGTGTCCTCAGCCCCATTTCATTGTGTTTCTCTGTCTTCTTTGCCCCCAGACTCTGCATCATGGATTCTCTTTCAAAAGCAAATGGCACCTTTGCCATCGAGGTTTTGAAGATGCTGTGTCAAGACAGACCTTCACAAAATGTATTTTTTTCTCCCCTGAGCATCTCCTCTGCCTTGGCCATGGTGCTCCTGGGGGCAAAGGGGAACACCAAAGACCAGATGGCTCAGGTAAGCTATCCTAAAAATGAGAAGGAGGGACTGGTCTGCAAGGTTTGTCTCCTATCCCCTCCTTGAGTTTTTTGAGAACTTTTGAGGAAGGAGGGGTGAGCCTGGACCATTTCAACGAGGGGGTACAGGAGGAAGGGAGGGAGAGAGCTGAGGAGTTTCCTCCAGTGAGATGTTGTGAGGCTTGCTTGCAGGGGTTACTGTGTATTAATCTCTTTTTCATTAATAACATACCTTGTATTTGTAAATTTTTTCTTACAATGTCTCCCTATATTGGTAGATACAAGTGCTTTTTTTGAAAGGATCAGTTCTTGAACTAACTGAGCATTTTGTGCTTTTCTCTAAACTCCCAGAATTTTTTCTCACCCTTTTCTAAAATCGTGCATCAAGAGTTTTGTTATATCATTATTTCCTTTGTAACATTAATATAATTGATTGTGTTTAGCTATTTTTTGATCATAGTTTTGGTTTGATAATACAACATTCATATTATTTTCTAAATTAAATAATTATTGAGAATCATTATTTAGAAGAAAAGAAACATTTTTAGTGTTTACCTCATTGAGAATCGTCAAGGTCAGTGTGGAAACTCTCTTCAACTGCTGCTGCTGGCATGAAGGACTTAGGGATGTCTCCCCAGGTACACCACTCCACAGCCCCCTCCTTCTTTTTCAGTTTTGTCAGGAAGAGGAGCCTTCCTAGGACACCAATACAAAAATGGACATCCTACTAAAGGCTACGTACGGGGCATCCCTATAATGAAAACAAAATGTGGGTTGTAGAAAGAACCTGAACCATGCAAGGACTCATTCACCTCATCAAGAATTTCCTTAAACTTGTTGCCTTGGAACAGTTGTTCACTTATGGGAATTAGTCCATTGCTATCCCCCAGATGAGGGATGTTTGGGCAGTGATGGTAAACTGGTCCTACATTACTGCAAATCGCAGGCCTGGACATGAGCTACAGAGGAAAAACAACTTGCTACTCAAAATGGTGTTTCACAGGGGGAAATGGTTCCAAGAAGTTCTAATGCTTGTTGTGAAAAGAGACTATGAGCTACTTAGCAAATGTCCACTGTGACTCATGTTTATGCATAAGAAAACATCTGTAGAGTGAATAGACTAACAAAAATATGATTATGTTAATACACAAATATTCACAAAATATTGCCATTATGTTATGCCCGTTGCTCCTGCCTGTTAATACCGTTGTTCCAGATCTGCCTCCAAGGTTGAAAAGACTGAAACTACATAAACCTGTATCACCACTTTTCAAAAGGATTCAAATTGGTTACTTCTGGAAATGGCATTCTGCCAATTTCTTTCATGGTAAAAATTAATTTAGTAAAAGGTCTTTCTTTTTGTTTTTAACTTATTCAGGAAACTTCAGTTTGTGTGGGATATAAGATGTTTATATTTTTTTCTGTTGAATTAACTTGTCAAACCAAGTCTCATTGACCTCTTAGCTGAATGCCTTATATATTCCAGTAGAGGGCAATCCAGCTGATACAAAGATTTGGCAATTTGGTTGTACATCTTTACCAGGTTATAAGCCTTTTCTTGTCATTTTCTGGCTAATATTTACCAAAGAAAGCAGGTATTTTGACCAACTGGAAGACTGAGAAAATATATGTTGTTAAATTTAATTATTTGGGAAATGGAAGTAATTTTACAAATTCTAGAAAAATTAGTTTTATACCTTTTTTCAATACTGTCATTTAAGATTGCATCCCAAAGTTGTGCTGTTCTGTCAATGTGAAAAGCTAGTGCTAAGTAATTCGAAAGAGAAAAATAGACAAGATGTTAGTTATTTGATTGATACATAGGAGAGTTATTTCTTTAGTAATTCTTTTTAATAATTAGTTAGTAAGTTAATTTCCATGTTGTTTGTATTTTATTTGTAGTGTTGTTGATTTTATATTTCCATCATTAACATCATTGAATATAAATTGTGTCATTTGTGTATTTCAGAGTCAAATGAAACTCTTCTTGTGACATAATATGACATCTTTATTGAAATATAAAGCATCATATAATATACATATAGTATCTCTCTCTAGGGTACTGGGTTTATTTTTTAATTAATTTTTAATTTGTTTTAATTATACATGACAGTAGAATGCATTTGTTCATGTTCACTTTGATATAGCATACATAGATGAGATATAATTTCTCATTTTTCTGAGTGTAAATGTTGTAGAATCATATTCATTATGCAGTCACATATATACATAAAGTAATAATGTCTGTTTTATTCTAATATCTTTCCTATCCCCACATCCAATCCCCTCCCTCCCATCACTTCCCTCTACATAACCTAAGGTAACACTATTCTTCTCTAGTGGCTCCTGCCTTATTGTGAATTAGCATCTTCATATTAGAGAAAACATTCAAACTCTGATTTTTTGGGGATTGGATTGCTTTCCCTATCATGATATTCTCCAACTCCATCCATTTACTGGAAAATGCTATTATTATCTGAGATGAGAATGGAAACTCCTGCTTTTTTATGCAATCCATGAGTGATAAGCTTTTTTCCCATCCTTTCACCTTCAGCTTGTGGATCTTTGTCCATAAGGTGAATCTCTTGAGGACAGTGTATTGTTGGGGCTTGCTTTTTAATCCAATCTGCCAATCTACATCTTTTCATTGATGAGTTTAGTCCATTAACATTCAGAATTATTATTGATGTATGATTTGTGTTCCCTGTCATTTTTATGTATTTCTGGGTTTTGATTTGTTTTAGTTTCTCCTTTGGTTGAATGTTCCTTTAGTGCAGGGTACTGTTCAAGAACTGATTTATTCTTATTAATCATATTGCTCATTTTTTACTCTTATCTCGTTTTAAATATTATGATGATGATTGTATTTCTGTCCAAATTTTTGTTTGGATTTTTAGTTTTTTGAACTTCTTCTTTGTAAATAAATAGAGGCAAGTTATTTTAATATTTAAACTGCATTACTTTGTACATAAATAGAGGCAAGTTATTCTCTATTTCTGACAAATTTATGGTGTCCATAGGATGCAATATTTATCAATAGTCCCTTTTCTGAACCTCTCTTGCCCCTTTCATTTTTTTCTATTGTTCATCTATAAACTATGCAGAGAGCTCTGTGCAGGTGCCAAACCCATATTTTTACTCAAGAGTTTCCTGGCTCCTCTCTCCACCTATCCCACCAGTGTCACTTTTCAATGTCAATCAACTTCCTCTAAAAGGATAAATTTATGCAGTATTTGAGAAAAAAGCTTTCAAATTATTGTGGAGATCAAGTAAAAATTGAGAGAATTTTGTTGCATTCCTTGATAGGCACTGTCTTTAAACACAGAGGAAGACATTCATGAGGGCTTCCAGATGCTTCTCAACCAAATGAACAACCCTGGGTCAAAGTTCTTGCTTACAACAGCCAACAGGCTCTTTGGAGAGAAGAACTGTGATTTCTTCTCAGTAAGTTGAATCAGCAGAACAACAAAAGTTTTATTTAAAATACCTGGTGATATACAACCCAGAAAATAGACTCTAGAGACCAGGAAGTATGGCATATTTGGGAGGCTATGGCAAGAGGGTGGAGAGTTAGAGACTAGCTTAGACAATCTAGTGACACCCTTGTCTCAAGAACAAAATGAACTGCCTGGGACATAGCTCAGTGGTACAGCATTTGCCTAGCATGCTCAAGGACCTGAGCTCAATCCCCAATACAAAAACAAAAAAAAACAATATTTGAGAGAACTTGAGAAACTCACAGTAAACTATTTTTAGTAAAAACCCAATTCTATAATCATAACTTATATTATTTCAATTTAGGCAATGTCTCAAATATCATTTATTAACTGATTTTTCAGGGCTCAGAAAATATCTCTTACAAACTAAAATGTTTCACCATTAAGTAGCTTAAGATTTGATCATGTTTTTAATTTTAAGAATAGCCTAAAGCTAGCATTCAGAATGCTTTGAAGCTCACTGTCATTTTATTGAGCAACCTGGCCACCTGAATTATTTCTCTCCAAAGACATTTAAGGAGTCCTGTCTTCAGTTCTACCACTCGGAGCTGGAGCTGCTGTCCTTTACCAAAGATTCAGAGAAGTCCAGGGAGCATATAAATGCTTGGGTCTCAAAAGAAACGAAAGGTCAGAATTATAAGTTATTTCATTCTCTTCCCACCCCACATCTGTTCTCCTCTCTTCTCTCCTCTACCTCTCCTCATCACTGCTAATGTCACTGATGTTGCAGAACCATCAGAGCAAGGTTGCCTGGCTGAGCCTCTTGGTGCCTGTGAACCTTAGTGGCTCACAGAAGATCTGATCAATGCTCAGGTTTTCAAAACCAGACAGTTAATGCTGTCTGTTGTTCCAAGGCCAGAATGGCTGATGCAAGTATAAAAAGAAACTCATAAGCCAGATTTCCCATATAATAATTTACATGTCACTGGCCTGTATTGTTCACACAGCAGGTGACTCTCATCTATGGGAACAGATCAATGGCCAGATCTTCCTGAGTCATGCCCTTGGCCCTCTTCTTCCTGGGGTCTGTTTGGACTTCACTTCTGCCACTTTTACATGTTAAAATGACTTCTCCTGCTTCTTTTTTCCTATCTCTCATTTAAGTGCCCTTCATAAGACTTGAGAAGCCTAGATTTGATTAGTCAACTACAGAGCCTCTCTGAGAACTGATCCATTCCACAGATTGAAAACACCCTGCTTGTGAGGTTAAAACAAACTCATTTCTGTTTTAGAGTGTGACAAGCTCTAACCTTGGTTCTCAGGATCAATAATGGTTTGATGTTTGAACCATCCAGGCACTTACACACCACTAGGAATGTCCCTATTCCTGCTAACAAATGAGATAGTAAAAAATAGAGGTAGTACATTCCACTATTTCTTCTTCAAATCTTTTCTTCTTGTGCCCTCCAGAGGCAGCAAATTAGCAGGGAAGCTCTTAGTTGCTTGGAACTATACCACTTGATATACAGGGAAAGAAGGACATAACTTCACCTACCCAAATCATTATCTGTTCCAGGAATTCCAGGCACCAGGAGGGTGCAATCATAATATCTCTTCTGTAGTCTCCAGAAACTCCTCCTATGTCCCTGCTCTGGAGCAATTCAATTCCGGCCGCCTCTGGAATATTGCCAGGTAGCTGTACAATGTTAGAACTTGACCTGACCACAGGGCCTTAGACCTGACACTGCTCTTACCCACAGCAGGTAATGTCAGCTCCTACCCAGCCCGTCTCTCGTTTGCTGCTTGTATTCTTCTCCAAGCTGGTGTCAAATTTCTGATTTGTACCAATCTGCTTTCCTACAGTGACTTAGAAGTCTTTCACCATCATCAACTTGGTAGCTATTCCAGTGTCTGTCCTCATGAATACCACTCATAGCTGGGATTTTTTACTTTTATACCTATCATCCAAACTCAGCACATTTGAAAACAGAATGTTTGGATCTCCAAGACATTGTGTCATAAATATTCACCACATATTCAGAAGAACCAACTGATAGAGTTTGTGCTTGTCTTCAAAGGTAAAATTCCAGAGATGCTACCAGTGAACTCGATTGATGAGCTGGTCAGGCTGGTTCTTGTCAATGCCATCTACTTCCAAGGAAAGTGGGACAAGCCATTTGACAAATCATGCACGGAAGAAATGGCTTTCAAAGTAAACCAGGTAGGGAGAGACTTTAAAAATTTATGCTATTCTGATGAAAAAAATGAACAGAAAATTTAAATTTGTAAAGGTATATGTGATTAATCATAATTTCAAACTTATCATCTCTTTTAATGAATTATAAACTCATTGAAAAAAATGATGCAAATAAATAATACTTGCTGTCTATTATGTTTTACATCCTATTAGCACTCTAACTGCCTCTGATGAATTCTCATACATAAGTTGCTTACATAGAAAGCAAAAAGAAGATATATATATATCTTTTTGCCCCTTTTCATACTGTTATAAATATTGTGCTCATGTAGTCATTCTTCTCAGGAGGAGGAAAGGACAGTGCAGATGATGTGGCAGGAAGACAATTTTAACTACATCTACATCAGTGAGTTCCAGACAAAGTTGGTGGAGCTGCCCTACGCTGGCAAGACACTGAGCATGATCATCCTGCTCCCAGATGAGGACCTTAGTGTGGTGAGTCAGGAGGGGCTGCACAACTTTGAACTCAGAATTTCAGTGGGAAGAATTGGGTACACCCTGTGACTTTCTTTCACAATATCTCCAACCCAAAGCCCAAATGACCCAGCCCTGTCCTCCTTGCTTCCTTGTGGTATGATCCTTATTGCAAGAGAGTCAACAGTCCTCTCAAGGGTGACAGTGCACTATGATGACCTAAAGGTCTCTGAAAGCAGAGCAGCTCCCATAGGCTTTCCCTCTCTTCAGGACCCTAACCGTGATGATGAGTTTCCGCAAACAGTGTCTCATTCCACCTTAGGCAAATGTCTCTGTCCTGGAGAGGCTCACACTGAGAGCCCTTCCTTTCCCAGTCTCATTTGCTTGCTAGCAACGGTTCATTGTGTTAAAACTAAGCCTCCTTCAAACCAATAAATACCATTAGAAAAGCACCACTGACTCATCTAGAGGCTTTCCACAAATAACCATGTTTTGCTAGTGGATGAATAAGGAGGGGCAGCCACAGTCTTCCTGCAGGGAAATCACATATGAGATTGCACATGGTGTGGTGAACAAGTCAGAGCTCTCACAAGTTTCTGGGCAGCTGAAGGAGCTACCCATCCTGTGTGGGCAGTCAACATGGAATGTTCTAGGAAATGTCTGTGTCCTTAGATACGTGCCATAGTCTGAATATGAACTTGTGATTCTGGTCTTTCAGGTGGAAAAAAACCTTACTTTTGAGAAATTCATAGCCTGGACCAAGGCAGCCTCTTTGCAGAATATTGGATTAGAAGTTCTCCTTTCAAGATTTAAACTGCAGGAGGATTACGACATGCAGTCTGTGCTTCAGCGTTTGGGAATGGTTGATGCCTTCCAACATGGCCAGGCTGATTTCTCTGGAATGTCAACTGAGAAAGACATGTGTCTATCCAAAGTTGTGCACAAGAGTGTCCTGGAGGTGAATGAAGAAGGCACTGAGGCTGCAGCAGCTGACATAGATGAAGTGTTTGACTGCACATCATGGTCACCAAAGTTCTGTGCTGACCACCCCTTCCTTTTCTTCATCAGGCATAACAGAACCAACACTCTTCTGTTCTGTGGCAGGTTCTCATGTCCCTAAGGGTTGGAATTCCCCTCCATGGAGAATTTCCATTTTTTCATGTCCCCCAATTCCCTTTACAGTTCACAAGGATGGGCCTTTCGGTGAACACCAAGTAGAAAAATAGGGCAGGGTCCTAAGCCTTCTGAACAACTTGCAAGTGTGATCTCATGATGCACCACACTGAGCTGTCCCCATACTGCCCACTAATTTGTACCACAGAACTAGGTCATGGTCAATTGGATATCCTGATTCCCTGTTGTATTTAGATGTGTTCCATATAGAGGCCATATGATAGCTAGCAAACTTTCCCTTAGATGGCCCCAAACACATTTCCCACTCATTCCACATGCAATTCCTGCTTTCCTGGAACTTCAAACTTGTCACACAGCTGCCCTAGGCTGAATGCCTCAAAAATAATAAATGCTGGTATATACTGTTACTACCATTCTAGTTTAAAGAGAAAACAAATTTTAGTCTGGAGGTATGTCTCAGTTGTTCAGCAATTGTCTAGCACATGTGAGGCATTGGGTTAGACCCTCAACACCACATAAAAAATAAAACAAATAAAACAAAAATATTATGTCCATCTATAACTAAAAGAAAAAACCTTTTAATGCATATTTTCATTTGGTCTCTCATTACCATTCACCATTCACCATATATGTTCTGCATTGCAATAGATAATAGGAACACAAGGAGACAGAGTCATGGTCCTTTGACACCTGCTCTTTAATGTGTGTTCCCAATTTATACAGTGTTTATGACAACCAGATTGCACAGTTGAATATCTTTGAACTACCATGTAGCCCCCTTGCAGCTAGAACACCTTGCCTGGTGGTGTTGCATTTCTCTACCTCCAACCCAAACAGTTAAATGCCATTAGTCCTTTAAAGTTCTGTTCAAATGTCATCTTCTTCAAGACATTTTCCCATTTTTCATAATCAGATGTAAATCTTTGAACTTTCACAATAACTGCCAATGATAGTTGCATTGCTTATTTATTAATAATTTTTATTATTAGTCTTTTGACTAGGCCTTAAAATCTTTACAATTTGTGATTATATTCTACATGCTATAGTGCAGTAATAAATAATTTGATCATATATAATCTCTGTAGTATGTATGCAACTAAATACAGAATAGTAACTTTGCCCATTGCTAATAAAACAAAGAGACTGCATATAGGCAGAAACAAGTCAGTAATTAGCTTCACAATTTGCCAGAAATGATCTATAAATGCTACTGACTACTTATCAAAAAATGTAAAGAGGGAGTTAAATAAAAATTTCTTTGTTGGTTCCTAGCATATGAAGGATGTTATATTCTATTTTAGCAGGGCCAGTATATGGAAAATAAGGAAATTAAATGTTATTACAAAATGAAGGAGTTATGAGATTCTAGTTAAAGAAGGTACTAAATGAGAATAATATATATGTAAAGAATCCAAAACAAGAAAGCAGTTGTTTTTAAAGTGCTCTAGGTGCATTGTAAGCATATAGGGCTTTATTCCCGTGTATATTTTTTAAACAATGGAAATGTCAAAATTAGGGTCAACTGTGTTAGACTAAATGACTTTATTGTATAGGCTGCATGGAATACCACTGTATTATACTTATCATAGAGAAGCATAGTTTGCATCATATTATGGCATGTTATACTCAATGAAAACCTTCCAGAATCCTTTTATTTTAGAATATCCTGTAAACAACTAGAGCAGCAGAGCATGATTGTTCATCACTACATGTTCCCTTGAATAAAACTGAAGAGGAATTTTGAATAATAATTTTTGTTTGTTTGTTCTTTTGGTTTTTTTCATTTTTTATTGTTTGTTCACAACATTACAAAGCTCTTGACATATCATATTTCATACATTAGATTGAAGTGGGTTATGAACTCCCAATTTTACCCCAAATGCAGATTGCA